TCCATTATTTGTGGAGGAATTCGTGCATTTTGTATATTTCTGCAAATAGATGCAAAAAGGAAAGAAAAAGCCACAGCCGCTACACCCGCTGGAAAGGGGAAAGATATGGAGAAAGAGAAGAACACTGCTAAACACCACTAGAGTGGGTACAGAAGCAGCCACTCCCACAGCCATCCTCTCCTTTCAAACTTGTGTCAACTGCTGAGGAAACTCAGATCGGAGAAGTCAAGTCACTTTCAAAGGTCACAAAGAAATGGTGGGACCAAGATTCTAGTTCACATTTATCTCCCGCTAAAATTAGAGATTGTGTATACAGAGCCAGCTGAGTGCCTAAGGTCCAGCCTCATATAAAGGTATCTGGTGTGCTTATGAAGCAGTATGACCTCCAGTTTTACAAAGCACAAAGCTTTGGAAGCACTTTGTCATTTTAGTTAAGTAGAAGTTTCAATAGTCCTGTAAAAAAAGTTCATGAAAACTCTGCCAGTTTGCTTTCTGTATTTGGACTCCAAGCTAGCTGATCTCGGAAGCAAATCACTTACACAGCACTATTGGTAGATTCATTTCAGATGGCAAACATAACTTGAGAGTACAGATGTTGTTTATGATTTATAGGGTTTATAAATAATGTTATCAGATTGAAGTATATCGCTTCAATGTGTCACACAGACATTTTATTGACCAAGAAAAAAAAAAATACTTCACCTCAAAGGGGCAGTTTGAAAGGATATGATAAGACAACAGAAGTAGCAATATGGTAATTCAGCTTAGAGAAGAAACAGATAAGTATTGAACATTATATTAAAATGTATTTCCCAAAATATGTATAACTATTATATATCAGTAAAAAATAGTAAAATAAAATAAAGCTATAGTGGACAAACCATGAAGTTTTAGAAGGCTCACTCCATTTTTTGTCTGAGCTAATGTGATTTGAAAACAGCCAGTGGAAAAGCAAAAAAGTCCATTTTCATGCAACTGGCTTAACTGCTTTTTGGAGTTGACTATATTTGGTCTAAAACTGACTGTTTTCTCATTGAATGAGCCAACATTCCCAAGGAGCGGTTAAATGAACTATATCGCCACAGCATGAGAATGGCTGAGCACTGCACCAAGGTCTATTTTCACTTGATTATATGTGTATTTATTATGTAAAAATAGAGCAAAATATGACTCTGCCAAGAGACTCCCCTACGTTATAGTATAAGCGTGAGCAAGGATTTCTTTAAATTGCAGAGCTGCATGCTTGCTTTGTTTTCACAGCTGTCAGCCTTTTTTCATGCTGAAAATTTTTCCCCAATTGGTTGTTATTCATCATACTTATTATTTAGGAGAATTGACTGGTAGCAAAATGTGCTTGTTGGCAACTCCAAAAGAGGAAGTCCTCTACCCTGTCAATTTGTGGTGGATGAAATCATTCAAAACTGTTAAAAAAAAAAAAAAAAAACTTACTGGGAGAATGGTCCAAACACAGGCCAGCTTTCCTCATATTTAAATGGATAGGTTTTCTTCCTTTGGTTGAAGGTTTCTATAAGACCTTCTTTCATCTGGGACCAGAAGATATGGATGCAATACTAAAATCTCCCATGAAAGGACATTCTTGAAATGTGTCCAACTCTAAAAGTCTCATTGGGAATCATATTTTCAACTTCAAGCTATGAAAAATGAAGTTGCAAAGCTACTGTCCCTTCACAGATTGTACACATATGCATAAACAGAGATAGAAGAAACTTCATCTCCACTGTAGCAACTGCAAACTAGAAGACATATTCCTCAGAGGCAAAGAATGTTCATCCTAAAACAGGAACAGAATGAAGCCACTTAAGAAAATGGTCAATTATGGAATGTTCTGTGCATAAGTATGTCCATTAATTAAGAAATGAACTGAAATTTCTAATGGATTTCATAATGGCCACCAACCAGCTGCCAGTTGGCTGTAGCTTGGTGACAGATGGTAGTGACTGATCTGGACGAGATTTGACCTAGAGATAGTCCATCATTTATTAAATTGTAGTCTCAAATAAAATTCCATGCATTGCAGCATTTCACCATTATGTCTCACAGTGAGATCCTCTGAGAGCATTGCTTATCTGCCGCCACTGTTGCAGACAGCAAACTATTCAAAGGGCTTAAATATAACACTCAGTAAAGAAAGTTCATAATAACTCTCAGGAGATGAAAAAAAACAATGCAACTCAAATGACTGTCGCTTGAATGAGGCATAGTATAAAATGGGAGCTCTGTTTCATGCTAATCTGGTTACCTCCCAGCATTGAGATTTACATCCTCCCTTCCTTCAAAAAAAAGAAAAAAAAATCAAGGAGGTTCTCATTTACACAGCAACAAGCAGATAGTGGACTCTTCAGGTTCTGCTTTAATCCATCAACACATTCTCAAAGTGAAAAGAGCTGCTACAGACTGGCTCCAGAACCTGCTTACTTAAGGCTCTTGCATGAACAGGTCACTGGAGTGGGCACATCAAAAGTTCCAATTGCCATGACCAGACTCTTGTTTCCTCAATGTTTGAGTATTTCAAAAAATTAACCTTATGTGCTTTTGGAAGATAAGTTTCTTAAAGACCAGGAAAAATAACCTGAATCTTACAAATCCAGGTAGAACCTAGAAATACACAGAGAAAACACAGCTCAGTGTTTTAAAATCTTCTACGTAACATGCTGTAAAGCTTTCTTCATGTTGTCAAAACACCATGCATCTTTTAGTCTCATTCAAAGATGATAAGTAAGCGATGCATTTTATTACAAAATACATACACTCAAGGAGCAAAACATGACACAGAGTGGCATGTGGCCATCTAAAGGTTATCATTTTACTTATTTCAAAGAGACAGAACACTGTTATTAGTAAACTTCATATTTAACATATTATGCTAAACTTATTTTTTAAAATTTCTTGTTTAAGCTGGAAAGAGTCTAATACTGTAGACATTCTTTCTCATACATGTCCACTGAAGGGCCCCAAATAGTAGAAAGGAGCAAACGAAGATTCTATACACATTTTGCAGAAAAGTCTACAAAGGCCTCACCATGAATAAAATTTCTTTGTATTCTCATGCTTCTTCCTAAAACTGTTCAAATTTTGCATTTGATACATAGCATCTCCATTATTCTGTGGATTAAAGTGTTTAAAATTGTTCCATTATATAAAAGTAATGCAAGATGTGGCATTTTTATGCCATAACTTTGTGAACCCCTCCATTTCCCCTTGTACCTCTTAACATTTATGTGCCTTCTGACAAATACAGATCTAACACAAATTCCTCGGTTAATAGATAAGATTACTCAGAACCAAGGAGTTTGTGACTTAACCAAGGTCATGTGACTCTAAAATCACATGAGATTAAGTGACTTACCCAAGGTCTGGCAGTGGGGGGACTAGAATCTAGGTTTCTGACTGTTGTACCGAATTGCATGTGCTCCCAGCCTGGTGCGCTGGCTCACTCCTGTAATCCCAGCACTTTGGGAGGCCGAGGCAGGTGGATCACTTGAGGTGAGGAGATCGAGACCAGCCTGGCCAACATGATCTCTACTAAAAATACAAAAACTAGTTGGGCATAGTGGCAGACACCTGTAATCCCAGCGACTCAGGAGGCTGAGACAGGAGAATCGCTTGAACCCAGGAGGCGGAGGTTGCAGTGAACTGAGATCGTGCCACTGCACACCAGCCTGGTGACAAAGTGAGACTCTGTCTCAAAAACAAAACAAAACAGAACTGCATGTGTTCTGCCTACTACTAAGTGACGTCTCACCTGAGCTCTCCGTAATCCTGTCTTTTCCCTTATGCACCTTTATTTCAGCAGCTTCGTTGCCTCTCACCTCATCTTGCCCATCAGATTCTCATCTTCATCCCAGTTCTCTCTCTGTGTGGACCCACTTCTCAACCTCATTCTGCTTTCAATTTTTCTGTTGTGGGCTTTTGCCTGGTTTTCAGTTTTGAAAATCTTTTTCCTGGTTTTCAGTTTTGCTCTTCTTGAGTTGGTGGCTTGTAGAAGTCCCACAGGTTTTAAGGCCCCCTGGCATGTGGCTCTCCGGGGCTGGCTCCAGCTGGGTATAATGCCAAAGAATCCAATGTGGGAACAACAAGCTCAACTGAAAGTCCCTGAGGGAGACGATGGTCAGGGGTGGAAAGCTGATGTGATGCACACACCAGCAGCTAGGAAAGCAGGAAACTTAAAGAATAATCGCAATAAATTAGAGATGATTAGAGACTGGAACAGAATGTGAAAAAGATTGGAATATAGCGGATTGAGGAACAGGGAAAGGAAAAGAATGGCCAGACAGTTTCAGAAAGAACAGCATGTGCAAAGTTCTATATACCAGAAAGCAGGACACAGTCAATGCCCTGAAGGATCAAAGGGGTTTCATAGAAAAGATGAGCCCAGGGAGAATGGCAGGTGCTAGATCACATATGGCTTCATAAGCTATGTCAGGGCATCGGGCTTTATCTTAAGGACAATGAAGAGATACTAAAAAGTTTAGACGTAGAATAACATGATGAAATTTGTATTTTAGGAATGTCACATATGAAATTTCCAAATTGGCCTTAATTCCTTAGGGGACTATATTCAGTTACCTTTTTTAAGTGGTCTACTTTAATATTGGCTTTTAAATTTTTATATCATATAGTCTGTGGGAAAAGATTATAAATAAATATTTGTATAGTATCTGATATATAAGAATTTGTTCCCAGAGTTTGTGGCAATAGTGTGGACACTGGCTCAGACACAAGTATGTGGAATCCATTTCAATAAGTATTATTTAAAATATTAAAAGTTCTTTTTCTGAAAAAAAAGTCAATGCAAAATCATTTTTAAATGTTTACATATACTCCTAAATCTCCAAACTGCTGGTAGTAATATTAAATGGAAGGTCAAAAGCTATTTTTCTCCCTTTTAATTGGACTATTATTAACCAGTCAGAAAGCCTAGCAGTTCATTTATCAGACAAAAAAAAAAAAAAAAAATGTATAAATGCTTGACACATGAGCCATAGCCAAAATGTTATGACTTTATTTGAATTACATTATACAGACAAAGCATGCCAATCCATCAGCCTCAAGTTACTGCCCTGTTACCTATGGAAACAGTAAGATATTTTCCTCGTTACTTAATAATACCAAATCTCAAATAAGTATCACAACATGAAAAACAGATGTTAAAATGTGACACTCAAGGTCAGCTTACACTGCATACTTGTTCATTTTTAAGTCCCGGGTTTCTTCTCAAACATTGTTTCTGAAATTTTTCACAAGATTTTGTTGGATTTGCTTGCAGAGGTTAGAGTCTTAATACACATATGAGACACAAATAGAAAATTGATTTGTTACTAATCAACACAGCAATAAAATGGGAGATACTGCTTTGCATGAAATATGATTTTATACAAATGACCAAAATCAAGAGAACAGTTTCTATTGTTATTCCAAAAACATTTTCATTTGTATTCTCCCTTTACTGTGTCAATCTTATCAGTTTATTAAAGACACATCTTTCATTTAAATAGAAAATAATTTTTCATTATTGTGCTATTATAGGCGATAATTTTTAAAAACTAAAATATGTGAATAAAGAAAAAGAAGAGAATATACTTCTCATTATGTACCATTCTCAGTAACTACCTCTAATATAAATTTAGTTCCAATATTTTTTCTATGTATTCATATCTATATAACTATGTCTATGGATATTTTCTTAGAAAAAATCCTGGAACCAAAACATGCAGTGAAGATCTTCCCATGCCAATTACTCTTCATCTACAGCATTATTTTTAAATATCAAGGATAGTGCCCTGACATAGATATGCTATAATTTATTCAACTAATCACTGATTTCTGTTAATATTTTGTTCCCAATATTTCAGTTTTATAAATATTGAGACAGTTAAATGCCTATACAGATAAAAAGGGGTCCCCAGAGAATCTGCAACCTGCCCCCACAAGAGTTTACATCAGAAGCTTTCGTGCAAACGAGGGAACCTGCCCAGGGCTTGTCTGGGCATGCCCACAGTGTACTGGAGCCCGACATGTGCCCTGGGGGAAATGGGTGGGGCCATGGGGAGTTCATACCTTATGCAGGGGAGGAGCTTGCTCTCTTCAGCTGTATGGTGACCTGGGATTCAATCTGTGAGGCAGAAAACCTGCTAGCAGGACCCTTTCTTGCTTTGCTAAGAGTTCATTTTCCTTTTTCCTCTTCGCCCAATAAATTCCATTTTCCTCACCCTTCTATCTGTCCGCGAGCCTAATCTTTCCTGGTCGTGTGTAACAAGAGCCTGCTTTTAGCTGAACTAAGGAGAAAGTTCAGCAACAATATTATGGCAGTGAACAAATATATAGCTTAATCTTCTATGCATTCTTGATTATTTCCTCAGCATAAATTCAAGAAATAAAATTTTGTGTCAAAAGGGTGCATATTTTAAACTTTTTGGTATATAACTGCTAAAATATTGTACAAAAGTACATTCCCAGTACAGGTGAGCAGATGAAATTTTTCTATCATATTTTTTCTTCTAGATTGCTACTATACTTTGTTGATTCCAAGAGGCACATTTTTCTTTCACATTTTAACATCTTTAAAATCTAGTTATATATTACAATTTATGGTATACCATAGTTAGACTAGTGGCATTTTTTTCTTTATCATTGATACTTATAATGTTGTATCATTGAATCAATATCTGAAATCTACAAAATATATTATCTGCATTTATATACAGTGGTTGTGTTTAGTAGATACAGAGAAGTTTTAGTATTTACCTAGTGAGCTGCTTTCTTCATTGGCTTCATGTCCATGATTTCTCTGATTTTCTGTGATAAACACTTACCTTAGTTTTCTCCTTGTTATATATTACATTGAAATACTCAAAAATTACTCTTTTCACAAATGATTAGCCAATTACCCTAGTGATATTTATTGAATAGTTATTTTGTGTCACATATTTAAAGCTTATTCTGTTTAAATATTACTAATCCCTTTAAACACAACAAGCATTTAATAGATAACCATAGATTCAGTAACTGAATTTGTTAAACAGAAGTAGACTTTGGAATGAGTTAAAGTTTTGAAGTAACTGTTTGGACCTTCTGCAGAGATGACAGTTGAACAGGTTAAACGTCAACCAGCCATTTGGGCTCCCTGACTTATTACTGCTCAGTCACGTTATATGTAACAGGACCCAACAAACTGAAACCTAGTATATCTTCACTAATGATGACCACTCTTCTGACCTGATGGAATCAGGGAGGAAGGAGGACTGTGCAGGGCGGGAAAGCCTTCCTGCTTCAGTATTCAACAGAATTCCACAGGAATTTACTGGCAGCCCACCAGGGTCAAGCAATATGTTAAAGTCAGGAACACGTTCCCCACCCAGCTCATCAACTGACTTCACAAGTTCCTCTTTTATAATGCCCAGGTCCAGCAATGCACTCACCTACCACTTAATAAGCAGCTTGTCTGTGCTCAGCACTAAAGACAGGCAGAGAAATAGGAAGCTGTCTCTGACTTCAGGACGCCAGCTAGTGAGGAAGAAAGATAAGTCAATAACAAGTGCTACAAAATCCAATCCTTACTTTCCTGATGGAGGGGAGGGTGCAATAGGAGAACAAAGAAAACTATGGTCCAAGAGGAAACAGGGGAGGGCGAAAAACCACAGGAAAGTGGTACGTGAACAATCACTTGGCTGATACAGAGTTGGGGGTACAGGGACTGGGAACAGCTTAACAAGCATATGGCAGGAGATGTGAGGGAGGATGTCAAAAGACAAGTCTGGGAAAACAGAAAAGGAGTCAGAAGATAGGAAGAGGAGGTGGAATTAGGACTCAGCAACTGACTGAATATGCAGGTAAAGACAGGGAGAAGTCTGGGATGATTCTTCTTTTTGTAGCTTTTATGCTTGGTAGATGCTTGTGCCCATCTACTGAGATAGAAACCACAGGAGGAGGGGCAAAGGTAAACTCAGTTTTAGACACATTGAGCTCTTTTGTTTGTACGTTTGTTTTATGGAAAACGAGGGCAACTGATGGATGGAGCATACTTTGGGTGACATTCCTTCCGTCCTGTAGTGGAAGACACTGGGTTCCTCAAGGAAGGGAGATGGGATGCCAGGGAACAGGAGAGGGGACTTTAAGAAGGTAGCAGAGGCCGGGCGCGGTGGCTCAAGCCTGTAATCCCAGCACTTTGGGAGGCCGAGGCGGGTGGATCACGAGGTCAGGAGATCGAGACTATCCTGGCTAACATGGTGAAACCCCGTCTCTACTAAAAATACAAAAAACTAGCCGGGCGTGGTGGCGGGCGCCTGTAGTCTCAGCTACTTGGGAGGCTGAGGCGGGAGAATGGCGTGAACCCGGGAGGCGGAGCTTGCAGTGAGCCGAGATCACGCCACTGCACTCCAGCCTGGGAGACACAGCGAGACTCCGTCTCAAAAAAAAAAAAAAAAAGAAAAAAAGAAAAAGAAGGTAGCAGAGGCAGGCTAGATGTTCTTCTGCAATTGTACAGATGAGGTCACAGAAGCAAAACTTCCCATCCCACCCCGCATCAATACCTTTGCTGTGTTTGCTGCACTGACCATAACTGCTCATTCCCTGTTGTGTAACTGAAATGAATAGATCGTTCAATAATGCCCTATCTGTACAAATTTGGTCTATTTTAAGAGCAAAGGAGAGAGTTTATTTTTTTAAATAATGTTTCAGTAGAATTAAAAGTGTGATTTTTATAATCCAAGTCACACCCTTACAATTTTTTTTTTTCCCGTATACAACCTTAACTCCTGGCAAGTGGAGGGCAGAGAAACCACATTCACTCTGTGTACTGACCTGTGATTTGCAGCTGAGTTTTAGGAACATGATAGAACTTCAGTATGAATTACATATTTCTACATTTAAACCAGGGTCAGAAGTGGCACTACCCAGCGTGGGAGTTCAGACTGATTAATTGCCTTCATGGAAGGAGAAAAAGTATGGCTAAGAACTGTGCAAGTATTATTAAGTGTTTCATCCACATATTTCCACGTATTGTCTTGTACAGTTTGACTTGGCTAACACGCAAGAAGTTTCTAGTTTTTCCAGGGTGTTACAATCAGCTTTAAAAATGTCTAGAGTTAAATTTGCTTCTGAGAACAACTATTTGTGACTTAATTGATAAAAGCCAGTGTGAACTTTATTATTGAAGACCTATGTATTATGTAATAATTTCCTTAAATAATGGAGAAGATCTTTAAAAAGAAAAACAAAGAAAACCCACACAAGCACCTGGTTTTCATTTGGGGAGCAGGGGCTGGAGAGACGCTCTGCTCTGAGGTTAACTTCATGGCTTAAGGCAAAACTAGGAGATTTAAACAGAAACGAGCAGAACCATAGCTCTCTGTTTTTAGGGACACTTAAATAAGTATATGACAAATCTCAGAGAATCTTTTTAATTTGGGTAGGGGGTGAGTAGTTATGTTCCTTTTGTTTCTATTTTTTTGTTTTGTTTTCTTTTTTTGTTTGTTTTTTGAGACAAAGTCTGGCTCTGTTCCGTTCCCCAGGCTGGAATGCAGAGGCACAATCTCTGCTCAATGCAACCCACCTCCTGGGTTCAAGCAATTCTCCTGCCTCAGCCTCCCAAGTAGCTGAGATTACAGGCGCTCACCAACATACCTGGTTAATTTTTGTATTTTTAGTAGAGAGGGGGTTTCACCATGTTGGGAAGGCTGGTCTCAAGCTCCTGACCTCAAGTGATCCTCCTGCCTTGGCCTCCCAAAGTGCTGGGATTACAGGCATGAGCTACTGCACCCAGCCTTGTTTTCAATGATTAATATTAGCTAATGTTCTCATGGAAACTGACATAAAGTTTAAAATGTTTCTTAATTTAATAACTTCAGATTGTTTTCTACATGGCAAATGGAAGTTAGATACCAAATGATATCCCCTAATGTGGTTAAAATGCCTCTTTTCCAAAAGGGGTAAGAGAATATGAAGCAAAGTTTAATGCATGATCTGGTGGGGAGCATTGTGGGAGGGACAGGAGAGGGTAGGGACTGGAGAGAAACAGAAGGAATAATCCAAACAATTTTCTACACAACTGGTAATTCCCAGACAAACACTCAAATTGACCACAGCTAGATGTCTAAGTGCCGAGCAGGATTAGCACATGCTACAGAATATTAAGATGACATTACATCCACCTCTGTTGTGGTTAAGGTCCAAAGGTTAAACACAAATTAACAGGTGTCTGTGATTCTAGAATGCCTTGGTAGGACTTGCAAGGCAGTGGGGAAAACTGGTTTTGTAACCCTTAACCCAACACCTACCTCATGGGTAAAAAGTGATTGGAATACAGCGGCGTTTCTTGTGATAACACCCCTGACCAGGGATGTACAAAGGAACTGCTTCTTCCTGCCCTCAAGTTTAATCAAAGAGGCCTGCAGAAGATAATCAAGAAAAGATGGGGGGGTTATCATATCTACAGGACTTAGAGGGGGCTGAGGAAATGCTAGGAGGCCAGGCACAGGAGAGGCACTGTCTGAGCCCAGAGCCCTGCAGGAGGACTTTCTGAGGGGAAGAAGAACAAAACTGCCCTATCTAGGAGAGGGTCGGCCTGCAGCAGTCTCCACCCCAGAGAAGGCCTGCACCAGACTACATAGCTCCAGTCAGGGGAGGCTTCTCCTGTCCTTGCATCTACTCTGCTGTGTCCCTCTCCTGACAGGTAATTGGGACCAGGGGTGCAGGACAAGTGACAAGTGAGGAAATGGAACAGAAGCCAACCGCATCCCCTCCTCCTCCCTCCACTACAGACTTCTGAATTGAAGTGGGCCACTGATGGAAAAAAATAGAAGCTTTCATTCTAAAGTAGTTCAGAGATTTTGCTATTCCACCATATTAATGTAAGAATTACATTTTAGACAAGTCTTGTGACCGAAAGGGATGTGGAAGACGTTTTACTATCAAGTCACTGAAAAAGTTCTGGGATGGGCCCAACATCGAGAGGCAGGAAAATCTAAAGGTTTCAAAAGAATAAAATAATGGCAGCGCACTCTGAATTCTGCTCCTTAAGTTTAACTCTATGGAGATGTGAGGCCTGCATATGGCAAGGGCCCCCTGTGGCCTCAAGTAAGAGACTCCATCCTCCTCTGAGGTATATTCAGAGGCTGAATGTTGAAATGTTGGATTCGACATCCCTTTCTGGAAAGACAGCAATTAACTGGTAGTTCTAATAAATACTTCAAAAGAAACAAATACATTTCCTTTTTTTTTTTTTTTTGGCCAGCATTTCAAGTAAAAGCTGCATACTCAAGACAGATTTTATATAATCCTAAACTCTTTTTCTCTACAGAGGCAATTGGTAGTTTTCCTTCCATATTGCATTATGCTCCAGGAGGTTTGCACAACATCCTATAACAAATTATGGTGAAAAATCAACTTTCATGTGAAACATATAATGTGAGATATATGCTGCTTTCCAGCTCTGCCTGATGCAACACAATATGCTTTATTTGGCTAGAAAATACAGCTGAATCTGTTCCTATAAAATTACTTGTGGTTAAGAGGAGGTAGGTTATATTTTTCTATCAGATCTCACCTATCGACTTCACTGTTAGCATTGCTCCTTTAACAAATACCATTCCTAAAATTTACAAGATGAATGTTTAGTAATCCATACAAACAATTTGAATATTCAAACATGGATCCATCATTCAAAACCCCTATTTACTAAGCAAAGAAGCTGTAGTCTACATACCACAGAGAGCAACAAAGTCAAAGTCAGTTTCAAGTGCCAGCTATTATGGTTGGGCCGCCTTCTAAGTCAACTAGGCTTCCAGAGCCGCAGTTTCCTCATCTTTGATATGGACCTCACTTCCAGAGCCATGGGAAGAACTGAGTGAGAGTGAGGATGTGAATGCCTCTGCCACGCTGTAAGTACTACCTAAGTGCGGGCCAGCCATCCTGTTCTGTACATGTCAAGGCATGAGCCATCCAGGGAACCCAAAGACCCATGAGACTGGATACTGTGCTCAGAGTTTACAAACCTAAAATCTAGTTGAGGATACACAGAAACATTTTAACAATGATTTCAAGGTTCAAATATAAACAGAATTCACAAAACAGTATAAATTCAATGAGTGATTCCAATAGTTAGTGATAAGGTTCCACAGAGGGCAGCGAACTCCATGGGCAGCAGTGCTGAAGTTTCAAAAGGATGGAGGAATAGAGGTCTATGGGGAGGATTGGATAGGAAAGAGAAACGGGTATGGCAGTTTTTAATACAGAGGTTGCAAACTAACAGCTCCATTATCAAATTTCACAACAAAATCCTGATTTCCAGCTTTTCTTTTCTTTCTTTTCTTCTTTTTTTAGAGATGGAGTGTTGCTCTGTTTCCAGGCTGGAGCACAGTGGTGCCATCTCGGCTCACTGCAACCTCCGCCTCCCGGGTTCAAACGATTCTCCTGCCTCAGCCCCCCAAGCAGCTGGGACTACAGGTGCGCGCCGCCATGCCCAGCTAATTTTTGTATTTTTAGTAGAGACGGGGGTTTCACCACATTGGCCAGGCTGATCTCAAACTCTTGACCTTGTGATCCACCCGCCTTGGCCTCCCAAAGTGCTGGGGATTACAGGTGTGAGCCACCGTGTCTGGCCTTCAGCTTTTCCTTTAACCCCAGGGGCTGGGTCAGAGTTGCTGTCTGAAGAAAAGTTGTCCTCTCTAGGGCAGCGCAGTGGTCGCTTCTCTTGAGTTTCTCACACCTGTTGGCCTTCACTTTCTGCTCTTCCCTGCCCAGCCCTGGTAGGCATGTGGGATTGCTCGTCTCTGATTTAGAAGTTTCACTAACCTTGGTAAACAGTGCTCCAGACTTAAGTGAACATCAACCTACTCAGGCAACCACACTGTACTCCTGATTCCTTCCTTTACCCCAGTCCACTGGCAGCAACTTATCCTGTAACACCTTAACGCCTGCATTTCACACTCTAAACGCAGAGAAACTACAGGCAAACCTTGAGTTTATTTTAGATGGCATCTTTTCAAATAAAAACTCCCCAAGGTAATTTTCTTAAATTAAGATCTCATGGGAAAAAATAAATTAACCAATAATAAAACCTCTGATGAGCCCTGGGGTTGATCTTTCAATAAGTGGATAATTATTTGCTGGGCTCTCCACTCAAATAAAATTATCTAGTTGCAGCATCTCTTTTTTTTCCTAGACTAGTTAATAATGTGATTATAAAGTTTTTCTCATTTGTTTTTCTTTAGGTATGATTTTAGAAATCTCTCTCACACTTGATTGCACACATACAGACACACACATCTTTAAAACTACCCTTTTTAGCCGGTGCCTTGGCTCACATCTGTAATCCCAGCACTTTGGGAGGTGGAGGCGGGCGGATCACGAGGTCAAGAGATCGAGACCATCCTGGCTAACATGGTGAAACCCCGTCTCGACTAAAAGTACTAAACAAAATTAGCCAGGTGTGGTGGCCTACTCGGGAGGCTGAGGCAGGAGAATGGCGTGAACCCAGGCGGCGGGACTTGCAGTGAGCTGAGATCACGCCACTGCACTCCAGCCTGGGCAACAGAGCAAAACTCCATCTCAACAACAACAACAAAATAATGAAAATAAAACTACCCTTTTTATGAAGATCTAGAGGAGTGAGAATGAAGGAGGAGGAAGTGGATGAAGAATTCCAAAGATAAGTTCTCTGGGGTAAAATATTAACAGCTTTACGTCCCTCAGTGCCCCTGACTCACCATCTATAAAACAGAGGCTGGGGTTATATCTATATTATTTCCATAAACTGAAATGGATCACAAATAATTTGTTCCTAATACCTGTAGAATAAAAATTTACAAATGGCTTGTTTCTCAGTAAGTAAAAGCAACTTCAAGGTTATGTCTGTAAAAATGTATCTCCTCTGTCTTCCATTCTACAGCATTTTCTGGAATGAGAAAGAAAGAGGTGGTCCGCCATATAGTTAACATGCAGAGAATGTTTCATAACCCAGAGAGAGATGCGGTCAGTACAGTGAAGAGTGGGAACTTTGAAGCGAGGAGTAATATCTAGGAATTCTTCTTTAGGAAGTTAGCTGGGTGCTGTCCCTAGTTTATGTACAGCCCTGTCCTTTCCTCAAGAAAATTTCAATAAAGACCTATGTTGCTTCCAATGCTGTTTAGGGTAAAATTTGTGTTTCTTTTGTCTGAGAATCTCTTCAAGGCAATCTTCAGAATGCTATAACCAGTGGTTCTCGAAGTTGGTTCCTAACCCCTGACTAGCAGCAGCAGCACCTGGGAATTTGTTGAAATTAATCTTTGAGCTTCACCCCAGATCTGTTAGAAATTCTGGAAGTGAAGCCCCACAATATATATGTAGTTTAAGTCACCCTCCAAGTGATTCTCATGCACACTGAAGTTTGAGAACTGCAGCTATCACCTATAGTGAGTAACCATTACAGAGAAACCATCTGTAGTAGAGGCTATTGGTACCACCGATTCAGATCTTCCTGACCAGCCAATGCACTTGTACTCTGGCTGCTTGGAGGAATACAGCTGAGGGTTTACACCTGTGTCCTTCTCCTGTTACTTCTCCATGGTTGGCAGGACAAGGAGAGATGCCTGGGAAGCCAACTACCCACAACCCTGGGTTGGCAATGACATAAGGTACTTAAGCCTGAACTCTCTGCAGGGCAATACAGCCCTGTGAGCCTGGAAACCAGGCCAAGGCTAGACTTTGTCTAAGACCATATCCTTGTAGATCCTCCTCCTTCTCTATCTTGCTCTCCTCACTCTCTTACAGGATTTCCCTGAAGACTGCTTCCTCATTAAATCCTGTGCACATGAATCCACTTCTCAAGTCAGCTTCTAGGGAAATAGACTAAGATATGACTAATTGTTGTGTAATTACTTACGAAACTTTTCTTAGGGTGATAATGGATGGGACTAGTTATTGTTTGGTGGGGAAGAGTTAACAAATGAGGGAATACCCATAGGAGTCATCAAAAATGCATCATACAACATTGTGTACTCTGGCACTGCAAAAATAAAGGTTGAAAACTGGTGGATCACATGATCTCTATTGACTTTTCTAAAATTTATGTCATCATAATTCCTGACAGTGAATAAGAGATACTTATGGTACAATTTTGTGACAGGAAGTTCCAAGAAGGGCAAGTACTCATATTTACTAACAAAATAATTCATTGAACAAATGTTTACTGCTCCTCTATGTTCTAGGCACTGGGACCTCTATGGTAAACTCTACAGGCAAAGCCTCTACCCTCAAGGAGCTTCCATCTTGATCAGAGAGACTGGCAATAAACAGATGAATACATGTAATCTGATATAGAGAGGTGAGAAATCCTATGGACCAAAAGAAAGAAGCAGAAGGCGATACAGTGTGATAACGGGGTGGGGGTTGGAGAGTGCATTGAAGGGGT